CTATACCAAATCATCACCCCGGCAACTTCCCTCCCCTCTCCCGTCTGATAAAATTTTGTACTTCAGTTAAAGGTTCCACATGTGAGCTAAGGTATGTATCGCAAATTCCGGTTCTCTACCCGGAGAAAGGGTTAAGGTGCGCTTTGTAGGCTTGTCGTCGATCTGATGGTAGGTGCGATACGTGATCGCTGCGATCATAATCGCATAAAGCAATTTTGCGGATATTTCCATACCTTAGCTTCTTAGCATCTTGGAAATATATTCATTTCTCCAAAAATCTCGGAAATGTGGACTTTTGTATTTCGTTGCCACTCAAAAGATACTGTCATAAGTATTTCGAAACTTAAACATTTTCAGTTTTTCTTTGTAAAATTCTGACTTTTTTCAACAAACTATATCATTTTACAGACTTCTGTAGAGAAGGGCCATGCTATTACCAAAACTTGCTCAAAGCCTCCCTGTACTGGTGCCATTATTCCTCCTTCTATTATTATTCCTAATAGCTTCCAGTGGTACTAGGTAAGTTCAAAATGATGTATCTTATTTTTATTCGATTATATTTGTGAAGTGGACCGATATGAAAAATTCTAGAATCAATCTTTTATTATAGGTATGTATTCTACGCCTTGGATGAATTCGTACCTCCTGAAGAACCCTATGAGACGTTTCTGCTTTCTGCATACTTCTATAGAACGTCAAAAAGGTAATAAAGCTTACAATTTTAGTTATTTGAAAAATTTCATTAATTTCAGCCTCCAGTAAATTATTTCTCGAATGTCAATACTATAAAAAACTGTTCATATTTCAAAAACCCAAACCTTTCAGAAAAAAGAGCTTTTCTTCCTTTCAAATTTTTCAAAATATATCCAGCAGAGAGGACATTGAGAAAAACTAGCACTTTTATAGCTTTGAACTTTGAAATTTTCAAACTAACAAATTATAGCTACAAATTTAGTCTTGGCAATAACTCGATTGCTCTTGTGCTCACTGGTGATTATTTGTTGGCAACAAAATTAGAGAAAATGCAATTAGTGGCGTGGAATAATGAAACAAACGTTGTGGCGACAGCAGATATTCAAAGGTAGGAACACTTGTTTTATTCCATGCTTTGAGTTTGCAGTTTCATATTGTCGTATTTTTTTTACATCAACTGGGTCCTGACAAGAAAGGCTTCGTTCTAGCGAAAAATATATAATTTGCGGGTATTTTTTTTCTAGAATCACACCACATAACGTATGCCGATGGATTTCGATGTTTGTGACAGCTCCATTGCTGCCAAATCCCACATCCATAGCCATTTCAGTGGGCAATAGGTTAATAGAGGTTCGGCTTTATCTTATATATAAAGCTGAATGTCTGTTTGTCTGTCTGTCTGTCTGTCTGTATGTCTGTCTGTCTGTATGTCTGTACGTATGTTCCGAATAGAAAATTCCATTTCTGAACCGATCCGGACCAAACTTGGCACACATACACTACGGGCCCCGGCGGGTGTCATAGGCTACTTTTCGTCATCGATCGATATCGATTTTATCGATTTTTATCGATTTTTTTGCTGAGTTCACCTACGGGGCTGGGAGCTGGCACAGGGGGGTAATCGAGCATGGGGATTCCGAATACAATATTGGTTTTCGGGATTATCGATTACTTTTATCGATTTTATCGATTTTTTTGCAAAGTTTGAGCTACGGGGCTGGGAGTTGGCACAGGGGGGTAATCGAGCATGGGGATTCCGAATACAATATTGGTTTTCGGGATTATCGGTTACTTTTATCGATTTTATCGATTTTTTTGCAAAGTTTGAGCTACGGGGCTGGGAGTTCGCACAGGGGGGTAATCGAGCATGGGGATTCCGAATACAATATTGGTTTTCGGGATTATCGGTTACTTTTATCGATTTTATCGATTTTTTTGCAAAGTTTGAGCTACGGGGCTGGGAGTTCGCACAGGGGGGTAATCGTGCATGGGGATTCCGAATACAATATTGGTTTTCGAGATTATCGATTACTTTTATCGATTTTATCGATTTTTTGCAAAGTTTGAGCTAGGGGGCTAGGAGTTGGCACAGGGGGGTAATCGAGCATGCTGATCATCCCCAAGGGGGGTGATCAGCATGCTCGATTACCCTCTGTGCAAACTCCCAGCCCCGCAGGTCAAACTTTACAAAAAAATCGATAAAAACGATAAAAGTAATGGACGATCCTGAAAACTAATATTGTGTTCGTAATCAGCATGCTTGATTACCCCCCTGTGCAAAATCCCAGCCTCGCATGTCAAAATTTACAAAAAATCGATAAAATCAATAAAAGTAATCGATAATTCTGAAAACTAATATTGTGTTCGTAATCAGCATGCTCGATTACCCCCCTGTGCAAAATCCCAGCCTCGCATGTCAAAATTTACAAAAAATCGATAAAATCAATAAAAGTAATCGATAATTCTGAAAACTAATATTGTGTTCGTAATCAGCATGCTCGATTACCCCCCTGTGCCAACTCCTAGCCCTGTAGGTGAACTCTGCAAAAAATCGATAAAAATCGGTAAAATCGACATCGATCGATAACGAAAAGTGGACTGTGACACCCGCCGGGGCCCGAAGTGTATGTGTGCCAAGTTTGGTCCGGATACGGCGGAGCCGGGTAAGCCAGCTAGTAATTTATAAATTACTAACTGGCTTACCCGGCTCCGCCCGGTCTTGTCAAAACACTATGATAAAACTCTCATTCTATCCCTGTGCAACCTTCTGTTCACTTCTACATACCAACTTCAACTCCCTATTCCCGCTGGTTCGCGCGTTCCCAGCCCAGTAAATCAAAATTCGCAAAATCGATAAAATCGATGAAACTAATGGATATTTCCAAAAACTAATACTGTATTCGTAATCAGCATGCTCGACTACCCCCCTCCCCCCCCCCCTCCTGTGCCAACTCCCAGCCCCGTAGTTCATACTTTGCAAGAAATTGATAAAATCGATAAAAGTAATGGATAATTTTAGAAACTAATAGTGTATTCGTAATCCTCATGCTCGATTACTCCCCTGTGCCAAACCCAGCCCCGTAGGTAAATTCTGCAAAAAAATCGATAAAAATCGATGAATCGATGTCGATCGATAACAAAAAGTGGTGACATCCGCCCCGCCCCGAAGCAGGGCTCGGCACAGGTGGCTTACAAGCAAGCTGGATATCGTTTTTGGGACAAAAAGCAAAGGGGGTCTCGTTTTTGTGACCGAAGAGAGACGCAGTATTGGTGACTTGGCGACGTTTTTTTTTAGTCGACGTTTCTTTTTTGGAAAATTTTTCAGGTTTTTAGAAATTTGGTTGAGGGTCGAAGGGGACTTCGTAAAAATTCCCAAAAGTCAAGGGGGACTTCGTTTTTTCCATTTTCATCTAGTCACCTCGTGCCGAGCCCTGCCCCGAAGTGTATGTGTGCAAAGTTTGGTCCGGATCGGTTCAGAAATGGAATTTTCTATTCGGAACACACGTACACACACACAGACAGACAGACAGACAGACATACAGACAGACAAACAAACATTCAGCTTTATATGATGAACTTTAGAAAAATGGACATATGAAAGTTTTTGAAAAATCTTCAGAAATCTTCAAAAATCTCTCGTTTTCAATTCCTTCCTTCAACTCACACAGGCACTTATATTGATTGCATCACAGCGATCTTTTGTTTGATAACTTATAGATTTCATGAAACGGGATATATTTTTTTCCAAAAATATTCGTGTTCTAAGATTTTCTTGTTTTTTTTTTCACTTGGGCAGAAACCGAACGTAGTGTATAACACTGAAATCGATATTCATTTACTTTTTTAAATCAATTTTCTAAATTGAGCTCCATTGATTTGTTCAAAAATTTTTTGTAAACATAATATCAAAATTCTGCAGATTCCTTTTCGAGAACCTGTGCTAAAACGACATGATGTTGTGACATGTATCGCTCCACTATTTGGTAATGAACAATGGCAACAAGCCCTATTTGCTGCTCATGTTTACAAAAGGTAAGCAATTTTAAAAAATCATGGTATAAGTTGATAATTAGTTTAATCCAGGTTTGGCACTCATATGCATTTATATGTTAGAAGCATGGTTTCACCAGTATTCGAACTCCTGAAGATCTACGAAAGAGAGGTGAGAAAATTTCTCAATATAAGGTTCCTGATTGAGAACTACGAAAAATCTTTAAAATTTCTCGTGTTAAATCTTTAAAATTTCTCGTGTTAAAGTTCGAATTCATCAAAAACGAAGATCACACAATTGCCCAAGCACACTATTTCCAATAGGACGTGGCGGACCTAGGAAAGACCGGGAGGGGGGAGGGGGGAGCCAAAATCCTAGGGCATGATTTCTGAGGTTTTGTATGCGTTCCACTTCACTTCGGAAAAACTTGATGTTCTGAATTTCTGGAGTCAAAGTTTCTCAGAATTTGAGGTCTAACTGACTATGATCCTCTTCTAGAATTTCCGTCCCGTCTCCCTCTTTCAAAAAAAAAATTTTCTACCAATCTGCATAGGATGTATTTATGGAAAATACAGAGCACTATATCAATCCTTTATGATAGGCATCTGAGAATCATTGAGCCAAAAGATTGAAAGTACTATATTTCAGAGGAATGAAAAGAATATCTGAGATACATATCTCCGTAAATTTCTAACAAATAATCATACAATAATTTTCCAGGGTTATCTAAGTATCCAACCCTGGTTGCGGATAACATTGCTAACAATTTCGGAGCTACAATTCAATCCAAACATCAACGTTGAGTTTCGAAATCAAGCAGCTGCTCAGACTGATTGCCTATTACAGTATAAGGTAGATAAGCAGGTTAACGGAACAGTTGTTCGGATTCAGTTAATAAGCTATTTAGGAATCCGCCAATTATGTCTCATTCGTGGATTTAGACGACGTGTTGATACCAAGATTGGCTAGAAATTATCTGGACGAGTTTGCGCATCTGTTTAACTCTATGCCAAATGTTGCTTATATCCACTATGCAAAAGAAAATGTCAGATTAAAGACAGGTTAATACTAAATAATTGTTTCCCCAAAAATTTCAGAAAAATCAATTTTCAGCTAAAAATCCGGGTAGCTTCTCTCTTAAACAAATGCTTGGCACTATTCAGTTTGAGAGAGTTGGCGAAACTGGAAAATTAGTTGCTGATCCACGATACGTGAACAGTACATGGATTCATTTCCCTCTTTCCATATTAAATGGCATGGAGAGGTAGTGGATCTCTTTGAAAAACTACAATTTTTCCAAAAATCAATTCTTAGGTACGTCGTCCCCAACAACGTCAACGCTATTACTCACTTGAAACACATGAAATTGGTAACCAATTTTTCAGAAAAAGATTTGAGGACTTTTGGCAAAAATCCAATAATTGTTTGCAGGATGTACAGCCATCAAGATTAACAGACTTGCTAACCGTCCCGACCTTTAATCCAAGCTCCGACGAAATCAAGACTGATGCGCCATTGCTGTCTAAAACAGACATTGAAGAACTTCAAAACGACTTTGAGAGGTATTTCGCGACATGCAAACGATTTGCGATGAAATCGCGCCGACGAAGAAAGATTATGATTATTGAAAATGCTGAAACGGCATATTTCCAGGATGGCTCGTCTACCGGAAGTAGCGAAGGTATTTCCAAAGCTTCCAAAAAGATTTTTATACCTTGAAGCAATCGCTCGGTGTTATGAAGATACCTACTACAAGTTCCATTATTCTGGTAGAGTAAAAGAGATCAAATGTCCCGGTCCAGATCGTTGCGTGGTTAGTTTCCTAATTTTTAACTTAGTTTTTGACGTAACAAAAACAAATTGAGAGCAAAGGCAGTTTGAGAGAGATTGCAGGTTGATAATAGGGTTGTGGTCTCGTTTTGTACCTTATACCTACTATGATCACCGTGACATCAGTGCTACAGGTAGAAGTCAAAGTCACAAATATGCTCTGAACTATTCCATGAGAGTCAAGCACTTCAGGATATTGTCAACCAAATGGATTAGAACCATGGTTTTGGGTTACAATTATCAGCGGTGATTCTAATCGCGAAACCGTATATAGAGCATTCGAAAAATCGTGACGATGGCGCGACCACGCGCGACGCGCACGCACCTCCCGGCAACCGCATTTTCTGGGTTTTTATCTCTACTCGAATGGTTTTTCTGCTCACAAACGATAGTATATAGACATTGGGAGAGACTGAACTGAGTGTTGAGGTGATGCCATTTTGTATGAGTGTTTTCCGCTCCTGCGGGCGCAATGACCGCAGTCAAATCCGTCGTGACGATCTTACAAACGACCTGTACCTGCCGTATGCCTACCGTAACCAGTGTTGCATGGCAGAGGATCAGACATCTGCTTAGGGCTTGGAAGTTTGAAAGAAGTAATTTAGACTGATATTGCGCAACTGTGATTTCGACCACTTATCGTATACCTGCCGTATACCTACCGTAACCACATTGTTGTATGGTAGAGAGAGAGAGAGAGGGAGAGAGAGAGAGAGAGAGGAAAAAATCACATATCTGTTCGAGATTCTTTCATGATTAAGCACTTAGAAGAAGCACTTGCCATAAAATACAACTTGCAGTATAATTTGGGTCGATAGTGATAGCAGTGATTCTGACGACTAGTATACCTATCGTTTACCTGCCGTATATCTACTGTTAAATAGTAGAAATCACGAGCAAAGACCCACTCAAACAAGAGTTATAAGAGTTAGATGCTTAATACCGTCATTTCAACACTTAACCTTCATACCCTTTGTAAAAGAATTGATTTTCAGGTTTTATTGCCCTATAGCCAAATCCTGCTCTAATAATTCTACCCTTTTTTTCAGTTTCCCCGAGGAATTCCTTGCTACAACTCAATAGCCACGTACCATTCAAACACAAATGGTACCGTCATCAATCTTCACTACGCCACGGATGAATCATTCGAAGAACACGATGGTTGCAAACCATAGCTTACATCTTGGCTATAAGCCAACCTCTTTTGGGTGTATAGGGTGATTCTGATCTCATATTTGATAGACTGTATTATTGTTTCAGGTAATTTATTCATTAGGATTAATAGTTTTGTTTAACAGTTTTTATAGAAAATAATTTTGTTCATTTTTTTAGTTCGGATATTTCCAAGTAATTGTTTATTTTTACATTATTGTTAAACCACTTGCACATCTTCTACATATAGAACAAGAAAGTCAGTGATCGTAAGCTGAAAAGGAAGTAGTTGGATTTTTGAACTGAAGGTTTTCAACTATGAAAAAAGGGTCTTGATGTGGTACAAAAAATTTTTTTTTCTAAAATTCAAAAGCCATGAAGTACTTACTTTTGTATTTTGATCTCCACGGCTGCCGTATTCCATTCTTTTGTTATGAATAAGCCATCTTTTTAAGAAAACTAAAAGCAAGAAGATTCTCATCCATTTTTTGGAATTCTATAAAACAGAAAAATCGTAGAATTCTGTAGAAAATGTCTCAAACTCGAACAACAGAATATTTACTCAAATGATACATGCAAATAGAATTCTCACAGAAACATGTGTTTGACAAATAAGTAGACAAATAATCGAGAAGAATGTTCTATGATTTTGTTGATCACGCATGAAGGAAAATGTTCCCAAAAAAACACGGAAATTCACAGGATCACAAGTTACCAATATACAGGTAAAGCTGCGCTAATAGCAAGTATATCATACGGTAAAAAATGTACAGATTCTTTTCATATTGAGCAGTCAAGTTCAAAAGTATGGCACTGGACAAATTCAAAAATAGAATTTTTTACAGTCCTCAAACTGTATCATAGCCGCTCATCATAGGAAGATGTAGATGTCTCAGGCTGAGTATTCGACTCTTCAGAGTGTGAATCAGATTCTATGGTGGGTAGAGAATTGGACGAGTTTGCTATATCCCTGTGAAGATTTGCTATGGTCGCTTTCTTGTAAATCACCCAGAGAACCACCAATGGCGGAGCGACTAGTAACAGTACTAGCGAGCCCAGTATCAGCAGCACCTTGGTCATGGTATCCCCCTCGATGAGGATTTTTCCGGCTCTGAAAAAAATGAGAATTGATAGCCACCTTTCTAAAATGAGAAGCTTTTTTAAGCCTTCGTAGATAATCTCTGAATCAACTGGTTTGGCTTCGGGAAGGCGGGGTTTTGTGACCTAATTAGGGCCACTCGCGCCCGCGGCGCACCTCCGTCTCTCTCCCGCGAGTTCTCTGATCATTACACAGCCTTTATTAGGTCACGAAGCCCCGCCTTTCCGAAGCCAAGCTAGTTGAATCAAATGGTAGTCATTCAAGAATAAATTTTTCTTAGTGAAGTTAAACAATTATTACCAGATTATAGAAAATGTATTGAATAAAAAAATCAATATTTAACAAGCGAAAAGCAAAGCAAAGTATCAGTCACTTGTTGAGCAACAGCTTCCTTCCGTTCATAGGTTGAATTGGTCTGATATTTTCTTCTTCTTCTTCTTCTTCTTCACCAATGCCATGAGCAGATTTCAGAGCATTCAGCTGAGATACGAAGCATGCTAGCTTTATAGAAGAAACTCGTATAAAGATAATAGCAAAGAATGCTCTTTCAAGATAGCTGAAATAACTAAACAACTATAAACTCAAGCGAGAACTGGTCCCGGTTTCCCTAGAGACTGGTCGCATTGCAGAGGCGATTAGTTCCATGTAATGCACCAAGAAATGCGCACTCAATTTTGTACAACGAATAATGTATGGTCAATTCTATAATGGTGTAGAAACCAGCTCTCGTGATTCGAGACTTCTGCCCCTGTAGCTATAAATTCAAGTTCATCAAAGATTATGAGAGTGTTTACTGCACCCAGTGGACAACAAGATGTTTGTTTGATTTTTTCACGACGCGGGGACCAGTTTTCGCACTTCAAAGCCTTTTGCAATCCTAAGATTCTACGATTCGAAACGCAGTCAAAAACAAAATAATATGAATATTGCACACTGCGAACAGAAAATGATGTGTGTCCCTTTTTTCACAGTGTGGGACCGATTCTCGCGCTTCAAAGTTTCTCGCAATGCCCGTAGCTTTATGGTTCAAAGCGCCGTAAAATATCATGAAAAAATGATACTGATTTTGCAAACAGAATGAACTACGCTTTTTTTCACATTTTGAAGACCAGTTCTCGTCCAACTCTTCGTATCGTACCTGTTGAGAAGACATCAACACGGGTTCTGTTAGTATAGTCCACGTGACGCCTTCGGTACATGGTGGAGTCGTAAGGGAGCCTGAAGTAAGGTAATCAAATCACGGTAAAAATTTTGATAGAAAAAATCCATAATCGTACAAAGCTCAAATTTTCGAAAGGACCTACCTGAGTACCTATAGAAAGTTTTCGTATCATCAGGTACGAGAACGCTAGGACTAAATTCGCTAAGCTTTGAATCTGGAATGAGACGGAGTGATTTTTGCAATAATGGATGTCAAGGTTTTTGCATATTTTAAAACCCAAAATTTACGTAACAGAGATGAACAGAGATACAGTAGCTGAAAGATTGTCGAAATAAATGCTTGAATAGTGCCACAATTGAGTTTCAATCAAATTATTAGTGATTTTATATTTGCCTCAGCTATCTGCCTCAGTACCTGTTGAGTTATTGCGCTCCAGAAACAAAGCATCTAATCCTCGAATAGCCAGAAAAGAGTCTCCCACTAGGATAGGGACTGCTACCTGTATGTCCCATTTGCAATAAATTTCGTAAATTTTGAAGAAATCTTACCACGGCAACTTTTCCCGAGAGACTCATATTACGGCTGGGGTCATATTTGTTAGAAATATGAACAAGATGCAGCTGAATTTTTTATTTTATTTTTATAACTAGAAAATTACTAATTTTCGCCCTCAAACCTCAGCAGGATACCGTAAACCATTGAAGGTATGCTCACTGCTCCAATGAAAATGAAGTTGTCTTAGATAGTATGTAGCGTCTAAGTTGCCACCTATAATGCGAAATTATTGAATTGTATATAATTTTGTGCCCAAAAAACAATCGAAAAAATGACGTCACCTGTTATAGACGGCGGCAACTCCCATGAAAAGAAGCCATGCAGACTGCCTGTTCAAAAAAATCATTCTTAATTCACAACTTTTTTCAATGAAAATTTACCTCCATGTCCATCATGTTCTACAACGACAGGACCAGTCAAGTGATAGTTGTTGAAATGAATGCTATCGTAATTGACAACCTCAGCATCTCCTAAAAGATAATCCTCAAAATTTTGAATAAAATGTGGAAATTTAGACTTTCTAATGAAAAAGTATTATTCGAAAATTTGGAGACTAATTCTCTCTCTTCACCACTTACAGGTCCAACAAAAAAGAATGAATATATATAAGGTGAGTTCTACAAGTTTGTTCAGGAATCATTTTGAAAGTTAATCTAGACCCTCCCTCCTAACCAAGGAGTCTTGGAAAGGAGTGAAAATCAAAAATCTGTCTAAGGAGAGGGACGAATCAACTCTTTTTTACATTAGAAGACTAGGTGTTTTTGAAATGATTCTTATGGATTCGAACGATTCTCTAGATTTCTAAAATAAGGTCGAGGAAAATCAATTTACTGAATATTTAAGACAGTTTCACTTTGAAAAACCACGAATATTAAAAAAATTATTAAATAAGCTAACCCAGCATAAGATCCACTGGTGATTGGCTGCGCCCCACTGAACATATTCCGCTCCACTGATGATTGTCCATATGGCGCCAAGTTTCTTCCTTTGCTAGAAAAATTATGGTTTGAGCAAAACAATGGAGTCGCGAAGAAGCAATTCTTTGATTTTTTTATCTATACAGATAAAATCAGGAAAGTAGGAACTTGCTAAGGGAAAGCGTATATGAAGAAGTTTGTTCATTGATCGATTTTTATCTACAAAAAAATTTTTTTCACAGCTCCCCTTTGTAGTGATAGTGAAACAGAACGACAAGAACCAACCTTTTCTCAAGTCTCTCAGATCCGCGTACATGAAGGGATACGGTAAAAAATAGCTGAAGGTTAGTTGGAAACAGAAAAGGAAGTTCAATAGTGCATACATCGCCATAAAACGACAGTTTTACCTGAAAAAAATTTTTGCAAACAAAGTTCCACAAAGTCTCAATAATTACTAAAAAAACCCACTTTGTATAAGAACAGTGTTAGAAGAACGTGCAAGAATTGGGCAACGCAATCCAAGTTTTCAAGCATTCGCGTGTGGCGAGAAAAATTCGATAGATCAAAAGTGGTTGGGATCATGGGTCAATCGAAATAATTTACTGCAAATGGTTATTTTGAAATATCAAATACGCTACAAATTGTGTAAAATTTAAAATAAAGCGTTTCTACACGGTAGAAGTGACCTGAAAATTTAGTGGATGCACAATTAATTTACAATTCTTGCACAATTTTATTGTATTCGGTGCACCGGATAATATGACCTCGTTTCAAAAATGCGTAAATACTAGATTAGTTTACAACTAATACACGTTATCTGAACTTCGACATCAAAGCAAGATTCCGTTCCGATATAGTTTTTATGTACCCATTTAAAACTATTATAAACAGCAAACCTTTTGCTATACTATTTGATTTAACTGGCTTGGCTTTGGGAAGGTGAGGCTTCGTGACCTATTAAGGCTGTAATGATCAAAGAGCACTCGCGCCAGAGAGACGCAGGTGCGTCGCGGGCGCGAGCGGCCTCAATTAGATCACAAAGCCCCGCCTTCCTGAAGCCAAGCGCCAGTTAAATCAAAGGTTACAATGTGTACTTTAGTATGATTGCACTCACCACGGGAAAGATTTTCTGGCCTAAAAATTGCCGATTATTTCTGGAAAGCTCTAGTTTGAAAGAGCATAACTAGTTCTCATAAGTCACTTTTTCTACATCTTACAAAAGCCAAGAAACTGTGTTTTTGAAATTCCAAAAATTTTTCTCCTCACAGAGGTTGCCTAGCTTTCCTCCCAGCGCAGAGCTAAAGATTTGCAATCGCTTTTCTAAGCTTTTCATACAGTTCAGAAGGGATTGCGCAATCAGCGAAAAAGTAGAAGCTTCTCAGCTTAGACCTTTTTAAAAATCTAACCCCGGTAAGCACTTTGTAGCACAATTCTTCTCAATTATAAAACTTATTTTCCTAACAACTCCGAGCATTTTTCATGGATTCAGAGCAATTAGAATAAAATGATAGAATTTCGATTTTCAATACCTCATCATTGAAGGCAAGGAACATCGGTTTGAATAAAAGCTCTCGAAGACGAAAATATGTCTGAGAAACTAAGCGAGCTACAGATATCACAAAAGTCTTCCAAGTAAAACGGCTTCCCATCGAAAGCTAGCATTTCAAAGAGAAAGGAAAAGCGTGCATAATTATAAACAAAACTTCATAGATTGAGAAATTTATACCTTATGCACTCTCTTGTATACCAGATGCAGCATTTTTTCGCACATTCTACAAACTATTTTGAAACAAAACCAGTCGAATACAAAATTCGAAATCTATACTGACAGTCTACAACAAAGGAGGAGTGAACGGTACCTTTCTTGACTAAGAGTGGCTTCTTTCTTGCTGGGGATCATTAAAATGGAAAATAGAACGATAAAATTCAACAGAGATGGCTTTGTAGCTGTGATTTTGCGTGCAGTATCATATATGAAAGTTTAAGAAAGACAAGAGGCAGAGTCATTCACTAAACTTCATACTTTTCGGAAAGAAAATAAAAAGCCTATGGCAAGATTCCAAACTAGTGACCTGAATTCCAGTAAGATGAATAGTACTCCTAAAATGAACATTAAGTCATCCAAAACATGTGTCTGGAACCAAAACACCATTTTTTATAGGTCATTTGTAAAATCGTAACGACGGATTTGATTGCGGTCTGCGTCACAGCAGCAGAAAACACCCATACAAAATCACCTCAACTATCAGCTCAGTCTCTTCCAATAAAAGATCAATTGTATGTGTAACATTTTCACTCCGTTTCGTTCCTTCCCTTAGGCGGAGTTTGAATTGATTACTAGGTCTTTCCCGGAACTTCTCAGTAAGGAAGGAAGACCCAGCATCATGGGGGTTATCATGGTTAAATACAGTACTTAAGTTGAATTTATATAAAATTTGTATAAAAATGTAGCATGAATTACTTTTTAATTGCGTTGATCCTATTATAAAGCCGCTTCAAAAGTTGTAAATAGATAAATAAAGTAAACAAATTTTTTATATCAAACTAATATTGTTTATATTGTTCATTATTAACTCATATTTCCATTTTTATAGGCTTTACGATTTTATTGAATAGTTGTAATTATTATGTATAAGGCTGTTATATGCAATATTTCAGTTGAAAGTTTAATTTTCATTTTTCATGCAATTTGTATTTATACAGAATAAACTAATTTCTATTTATGCATTTGAATATGTTGATGAGATAATGTATGAATCATATTGGTTTGTTACAAGCGTTAATTTGAGTAGTGTAATTTTGTTGATGAAATCACTGAGTAAACTTCATGTACGTGCTATTCTTAATGTTTCAGTAAATACTGTAGCTTTTTTGATATTAGCAATATCAGAAGAGGAGTGTATGAATTTTTTTTACAGAAAATTTGAAATCATATGTTTTATTGTATGGTTTAGTTACCATTTTATTATTTCTTATTTCTGTGTCAAGATCTAAATAATGACAATTATATCGATTTTCATGAGCAAGCGTATCTTTATAAACTCTTTGAAACATACCTCGTATAGTGTCTTTCCATATTATGTATAATTACTAAGTCATCCATATAACCATATGGAATCAATCGCTCGTATATGCATTCTAACCAGGAAAGTGTGAGATCTGCTAAAAGAGGGCTAAAGTTACCTCCCCGAGGTACTCCTACTTTTTGTTTCAATATACATGTACTGAATTTACAAAAACTGTTATCAAGTTAATCTGTTAGGTGAAATAAGTCTACAACAGAATAAAATTTTGTGTTTGGATTCATATCTATTATGTTATCTGTGTAATAGATTTTATTTTGTCTAAAATAAAATTGGAAAAACATGTGAAAATGTCTAAAATGTGCATGTGTCTAATGTGTCCAATGTCTAAATGTCTAAAGTTGGAAGTCTGGAGGAGTATTGCCTTCGGGTAGGGAAACAAAGGCCGCCATTTTGAGCCGCCCTTCGCGGTCAACTGGTCTTCCTGCAGTGTTGCTGCATGTCATTCCAGGAGCAGTAGTATGCGGAGGTAACCCCAGCTTTAGGCCTTCTGTCGAACTGTCTCCAACTGTTCCCCTGCCCGATGCCTTTGCCTACCTTCATGCAACACGTCACCTTGACAGCCCTTATAGTTGCAAGAGCAAAATGGCTTAGAATGATAGTCTATATGATGATTGCTGTAAGCAAAGCTGAAGCAAAGCAGATTTGCATGTTTAACATTCTTTTTGAAGTTTGATAGCTAGTGTTTGTGAATGGCATAATATCAATAGTGCTATTTAAAAAGCCACTGCGTCTTTTTAAAAATGGATTCTATGAGCATCAATCTTTAACGCTGTGATTGTCTCTTAGCCCATGGTGTACTTCAAAATTTTAACGGCGACGCGATTTGGCAGAACTCCAACTGTTTATAGTACTGGTAAGCGCGTTCTGCATTTACAAGCGATAGTGCAATCTATTGATTCACTGAAGTCACACATGTTTTATAGTGGGCAAGTATGAATATGACATCTCGTATTAGATGGCGACTGAAACTGCATGTATGTCTGAGGGGGCATAACGAGGATTTGGCAGTCATAAATACACTATAGCAATCTTATGCAAATTATTGAATAGAGTTCAAACATGAAACACCCCTCAAAACCTCCAGGTGTGAAAACAGCTTGTGTAAGTGTTCCCGTCCACGTAACAGTGATCAGACACGGGCGGCCTCCTACTCGTAGAACAAGCTTACAAGGGAAGGATACCAACAGTAGTTGGCAATTGAAAATGAGATGTATACCAGTAGATGCATCTTTGAACGCTGATTCCAAATCTGCTTTCTTTTTTTGCGGAATAAGTTTCCGAAAGAAGTTGTGAGCGTTTGAATGTCCAAATTTGTCAAGGTTTAGGTTGCCTAAAGTTGACGAAACGATGCACAAAAACATCGGAAAGCGGGAAATTAGTTTTGTATCGAGCGTATTGCTTGCAATGAAGGAACAAAGCCGATGGAAATTGCTTAAGTATTGTCTTAGAGCTTTTCGCTAATTTTATGCCATTCAATGCTTGGCAAATTTGGACATTCAAGCGCTCATAACTTCTTTCGGAGAGTTGTTCCGCAGAAAAGGAAAGCAGATCTAGAATCAGCGTTCAAAGGCGCGTCTATTGATATACATCTCATCTTCAATCGCCGACTAATGTTGGTATCCTTTCCTTGTTAGATTGCTAAGTCCAAATATGCTGTTCTTAGTTGTTTTTACTTTGAAGTACGTTACGCCCTGACGCTCATTCCTGACGGGCAGAAGAACCGAAACTCGAATGGGGTTCTCAATTTCTTGCAGATCTTGAGATCACACATCAAATCAGACAACAATCGTTTTGTAACAATATATTTATCATATCTTGCTCTTTGGTTAATGGATGAAATTCTCAAATCACTGATATTCGAGTACCTAAGCAAATGTGCTTTTTATATGATTTGATAATTTGGAGAATGGGTAGTATGCTGCTCGTGCTGACTTGAGCGACTTTATTTGGCACTCTACCCTAACGTGGGCGCCTGACCGGGATTTCGCGGTTAAAGACCGCGAAAGGAGGGCGCCGCGATAATGTTACGGCTTCAACGAAGACACTTACCCAAACGGGAGGTTGATGCATAAGGTACTTAGGTGGTTACGTTTGAGTCATCCTTTGTGAAAGCTCCTCTCTTTTGATACAAACTATTTCCAGCAAGATTGAAGATGTATTATATTTGCTTCTGTTTCTAAAACATCTATTCATGGACTAATTGTCTAGCAAATTGATGTAGTACGTTAATCAAAGTTAATAAAGGTCACTCGTTAAGAAGCACTTTCGCACTTAACACATCGCGCACAAAGTGTCGCAAAGTTTTATTTTTTGGTAAAAAAC